AAAACCAAAAACAACAGACCAACAAACCAAAGTTAAAACACCCAGAAAATAAGCCCTTAAGTACCTGTCAATAATATGTGAAAACAGAAATGGCATTGTCATTGTTGACATGAAGAATGGAAGTCTCATGAAGACAGTGGTAAAACTGCATTAGAGATTTCAGGAATTACTGATGATATTTTTCCAGTACTCAGTAGATGGCACACATGGAAACCTGACTGTGGTGGGAACAGCTGGAATGAGCACCAGGCTGGAAGATTGTGGTGACCTGAAGATAAAATGCTCACAACCAATTACATCAAATGAGGTCACAAGGAGAACAGGCTCAGCCAAGCTCTGTTACATGTGCATGTGTTTATGGCTGAGTAGGCATTTACAGAAGTGTTTGCATTTACTGAAGATACACACATACAAATATATTCTACATATGCCTGATTTTAAGTTTCCTAGAAAAAAAGTACTCAAAAAATAAGGAAAATTGAGAATGTATTAGATGAGAAAATTAACAGCAGTAATTAAAATTAGGGTGTCTATCAGAAGACTTAATTACATGGTATTAAGCAGTAATTTAAATATCAAAATGAATAGTTTTATTTAAAGCATCTTAGGCAATAATTAGTAGTAGATAGCAAATATAAATATGTCAATAAAAATTACCACACAAATCCAAAGAAAATTCAAGCCTAGTAAAATGAGGGACAGCAGAAGGAAATCTAAAGTAGAAACTAAAGAAGGTAAAACTGCAGGTAAGATTTGGTGCTAGATTGATAGGAGAATGCTAATGTTAGCTACAGTATTTAGTAAGGAGTAAAAGGATGGATTTACATCTGGTCTGGGTACTGGATAATTTGCTAGGCCAAAATAAGTTTTAAACTGCATTAATAAAAATTATAAAAAGAAACAAATATTCTAAAAGGAAGGGAGAACTTTCATACAATAACCCCAGATGAACTGGTGGAAGAGTTTTCTGTCTTGATGTTAATAATTATTAATAATTCTGATCATGCAGTGGAAGTCCTCCAACGCTGAACTTAAACATGTTTGACGCCATCAGTTATAAAATGCAAAAGATGTACCATCAGTAGAAGTATATTGATGCTCACTAATTTGGTTTTAGACACAGGATTTGGCAAGCTCAGTTCAGGTTGTATTCTGATGAACTTCAATTATAATTGGGTTTTGTAACTGTGCTGATGTAATACAGTTCTATAGGGTATTTAACCTAGTCTTTCATGGCCTTCAAACTAATATAAATTAACATTATATAATATAAATGAGATACTTAGGAAACAAGAAATGCTGTATGGCAGATCTTACAAAGTAGCATCAGAAACATACGTACCTGACTTTACCACAGGTAATATTCTTATGGACATTGTAGAAATAAATATACAAACACCAAGTGACTGTATTTGCAGATGCTGGAAGCAAAGATGAAGGGATAAATCATGGTGGCAATGTAGATTGCACAGCACAATATGGATTCCAGGATAAATTGGACCCATTCAGAGAAAGCAGATCCTAAAGTGTCAAGTGCAATCTCATATATCCAGCGGGAAAAATGTGTACTATACTTCTGGAAGATGAACTAGTTGCTGAACACAACCTGGCAGCAGGGTGGAGAGAAGCAGTTTGCACTTCTCTGGTAGCTCTGCTATCAATGAAGCCAAATGACTTCTGATGGGAAAAACAAAAGTATAAGCTGAAAAATAGGATATTTATGGCGCTGGATTCACTGTTCTTAAGTGCAGGGCAAGTGAAAGAAACTCTGCTAGTGCAACTTGGCTAATTCTTTTTCTTATCCAAGGCATAGCATACATCAGATAACCTTTGCCCACAGATAATTTGCACAATGACAAGGGGAAAATTGAAGGGAAACATCTGCAATGTTTCCCAAGCAGAGGATCTGGGATACTTTCTTCTGGTGTAACCTGAGCATGCTTATAATGAACACTGCTGTTAAATCACAGGGCATTTTCCCACCCACACAGAAGCCGTGGTTTTACAGTTGAGGATACATGTTGAAGCACAACAAAGGATGTTGACTGACCTGAAAAGAACACACCAAGCTGCCTTTTCTCTTTGTTCCCTTGTCCTAGTTGAAAATGCTAAGATTGTAGAGTGTTTCCTCATATGGGTTTCCTGTCATTTATCCAAGTCAGAAAGAGGCAAGGATTTCCTACTCCCAAAAAGGAGACTTTACAGCATGCACGTATGTCAGGCAGCAATGCTGTTGTCTTGATATGTGAATTTTAATTTCACTGATCTTATTTACATAATGACCCTTCATCTATTTACCTGATTTTAATGACACTATTATATGAGAAAGTAATCTCTGACAATTATATTATTTGGTGTAACTTTCTAAAACCTTAATGTCTTAACCTTTGTTAGAGTGAGTCATACAGTTAAGTAATTGGGTAAGGTCAACTGAAGCAGACATATGGTGTCTGGTGAAAGCATGTGTTGACATGAAGCTGGTTTTATAAAATCATAGTGTAATTTCTAGCTTGCGCTTTTACCTTGAGAAACTATAGTTCCCCCAGGGAAAACCCTTGTGAATAAGAAAAGATGGCCGAAAAGATAAGCCTTATAAGTACCAATACCTTTAATGGCTAGGATTTTAAGAGAAGGTTTAAAATCCTTTTGTTAATTTATGAAATCACTTCTTCCATGATAAAGTGGCAATACAGTGCCCAAAATTTACTTTCTGGTATCAACATATAGGAAAACTTTTGAAACTTCCTTCAGTATTTTGATTTCCCTGTTTCTCGTATTTGCCTCAAGCTCTGATCCTGTTTGTAGCTGTGGCTTCCACACAGATTCATTGACCGCCACACTGCAGTCATGAGGACCTTCTCTCCTGCCTGTCCTTCACTTACCTGCAGAGTATTGCTCTGTCATCCTCATCTCACTGAGATTTGAGTCCAATGCTTTTTCCTTACAGTATCGTCCTTCCAAGTCCAGCTTTCTTCATAATTATTTTTTTTCCACCCACCCATGTTTCTTTTCAAATTATTAACACATCTGCTGGCTTAGCTTAGTTTTGCCATGGAGGATCGCCTGACCAGTACCACTCACTGCTTTCCTGATCAATTTAAAGTAGAAATCATTTGCAATGAGTAAATTATTTTCCTCCATGAGAGAATGCAGGCTTGTGTGAATGTTCAATTTTCCTCTGTACCTACCCTACAATTTCCTCCAAAGAAACTTCTGGGAAGGAACCAGCAGGCCTGAGTTGGTGCCTAGTTGAGGGATCTGGACAGTTTGATTGATCCACCAGGCTTTTGGAAAGTGAACCAGAGTGAAAAGAGGCCCTGAGGAATCATGAATAGGAGGGGAAGGGGAAGCAAGCTATCACAAAAACTTCAAATGGCCTTACAAGGGCATAGCCACAGTGCTCACACTCAGATTAGTGGCATTACACCTCTTTGCCAGCCTCAGTTTAGGAACACATGAAGACTTTGATGAAGTATAGTAGGCGTGGAACTAACAGTTAATTTCTCTTCCTCAAGAAATGACCTCATTTATTTTTTTCCCCTTAAATTGGAACCAGAGTTGAAGTTTTGAAATCTCCTACCAGCTGGCATTTTGGGGATAGAAAAAGTTAGGAATGTGAAATAACTTTCTGAAATAAATAGAATTACTAAATGCAAAAAATTAAGCAGGCTGTTTAGAAGTAGTTGGAAAGTTTGGATTTTACCTTGCCATGTCTGGTACAGGACACAAGACACAAGACATGGAAGAAAAACTGATTAAATCCTCTGGTCAGGGCTTTCTAATTTGGGAACCAGTATTGTAATGCTGAATCTATCCCACTTCTTTCCTTGTTTCCATTGTTTGTTGGTCTTTTAAATGTAGTAAAAGAAGTATGTTTGTGGAAGGACAGAGAGGTGATTCTAATCATAGGAAAGACAGGAAATCTCAAATTGATTTTATCCTCTGGAGTAATATCTAGTGAACAATGGAAAACTGATGTTATCATCTCACAGCATTTTATTATTATTTTACGACTTTGCACTACGTAGCACTGTATTTATGTATCCAGATAGCTTAGAAAAAATACTCTTTGTGAACCAGGAAAATACTGGTTTCTAAATGACAATCTACTGTTTGGTTAATTTTCATCTTCTGTCTCCAGGGGTAATTACTTAAATATGTTGAATATAGAAAATCTGGTTGGAAATAACAATAGTGTGCCATGACTCTGTTTTAAGGAAAAAAGATGAGAAAAAATGGACTGTTAAGATGTCTTGGCAAATGCCTCTGCATAAAGCACGTTGCCATTTGACTTTAAAAGAAAATAATTATGTGGAGTCACCTCAGGTGAACAGATGTAGTATATTCATGAAATCACATATCCACGTGCATTTCTACATTCCCAGGTGTCATTTCTCTAATTATTGCTCCAGTGATGGTTTTCCCCCTTTATGTTGCTTAAATTTCACATCACTCTGATAGCTAAGCTCAGTGAAAGCAGAGTGGAATCTGAGGAACCAGATTTAATTAATCAGTTTTAATTCATACTTTCAGTTATTTGCCTACATTTCTGTGTATGCATACTGTAAGCAGTGCTTGCCTCCCATTCACTAATCATAAATGCTGCAGAAGACACCTCGTTATAGGGACACATTATATGTAGAGCTTTGGCATGTGACTAGGCTTTGGAGAAATTAGTACAAATGTTGCCTGCAAATGAAGAACAAGTTTGTTGTCCTTTGTTAGTTTAGTGACTCAGTTTCAGCAAGTGCAATCAAACCCAGGAATTTCCCTGACAAAGGGACCTCCAGAATCAGGAAGATTATCTGACTATATTTGAAAAGAAATGAGCAGCAAGGATGACAGACTTCAGTTAGAAATCTCTGAGATAATTAGGAAAAAGGAAGCATGAGAGTGTGTGAGAAAGTGAGCGTGAGAACTTCACTTTTTCTTACAAGGAAAGTGGTAATATTTGTATGTGTCCAAAGTTTTGTGATGAATGGATCCAAGAACTGTCTTGCTGAGTTTTGATCCACTTGTTTTACTTAATTTCTTCTTTTTTTCTACTTGCCCCTCTCTTTTGTTACCAGCAAAGAATGGAAGATTGCCGCTAATCCTGGACAGAGTCAGGGGGTCGTAGACGACTGGTTCTGGGTAACAAAAGAGAGGTTATAGAGAATGATTACTTCAGAATTTTCAGCCAGAACAGGATCATCAGGAGCTACTCCTAGCTCTCTCTAAACACCAGGAGCTGTTCACTGGAAGAACTGTATGATCATGCCTGGAAGGTTTACTGCATGATCACCTGTTCCCATCCCATACCCATCAGGGACAGTGGAATCCCAAGTAGTCAGGGAGAGTGTACCTTTAATTCAGGAGAGCTGGAGATTGATCTCTGCTACCACCTTGAAGCACGGCTGGGCAAACCTTTCCCATAAATCTTCACAGCTCCAGATCTGGCCTTCTCCTTCAGCCAGCAGACCCTGTCCAGAGGATCACCTGGACCATATCCCAGGCACCCTGGCCTTGGTACACACTTGAGGCCCCTGGAACAGTTCTGACTGCTTTGGTATCTAAAATCTTCCTTAAGAACTGTTTTTTTTCCTTGTCTTTTGGGAAAAGACAAGCTGTGTTGATTCAGCTTAGGAGGAGTTCCTCTTTCTTCTGTGCATATGTTGTTTTTCCTTTGTGTTGCAAGCTGCAGAAGGGCATTTCAAGAGCTTTTACTGATCTGTGGAAAGCAGTGAAACTTAGAGGGCTACGGATGCATGCCAGACTGCAGGAACCATAGCTTCACTCTGGCAGCAATTCATCTTCCATACCAGTGACTGCTGACACAGATGACCACATTGTTCAGGTTTGTTAAGGTCATAAGCAAATCCAAAAGTTGAGAAATCAGGGTCCCATATTAACCTTTAGGAGTTACCACACAACAGGTTGTACATCTTGTATTGCTGTGGTTTATTAAAAAAACCCACCAACCAACTCCAAAACCCAATCAACTCTACCCTTCCTCCTTTTTGTGTGATTTTGGCTAAATCTTAAAAATTTCATTTCAAGTTATGCTGCCGAGGATTGCTGTGAAAAACATTAATTCTGTAACTCAGAAATTTGAACTGGGCATAAACTGAAATGTGCGGTTGAAGTTTGAAAGGAGCTGGGAGTCCATGTTGTAAACTTTCAAGGACATAGTTTAGCCTGTAACTACCACAGGGAAACAACTACATCCCAAATTTAAATGACTGCAAATGAAAATATTGGATTCAACCTGAGATTGCGGGTCTTGAAATTCTATATTATTTTTCATCTGTTTTAAACCTACACAGTAATACAAATATTTTATTAACAGATGGAAAAACCCTTTCAAATGAACTTCCTCAGCAGTAGCTGTGTTCAGCAGTAAGATCTAGCTTGGTTATCTGCAGAAAAGAATTGCAAAACTTACAAGTTCAGGAAGCTTCCAGCCCAAAGAAGTACAAAAGCACAACTGGCAGCAGCAAAGAAATGGCAAAGAATAGAGGCTAAGCAGTTTCATCTCCAATTTTTACAGTCATGTTCTGGTTATTCTTACAATTGAAACAGTGGATATATTTTTGTGTCTCAGTGATGTTTATGCTCCAATCTATTCATGACACATTTTTACTTTTTGTTCTCTTTTTCTATTCCCTGATTAGGCCTCCCCTGTCCCTTTCCATTCTACACTCTCTGACTTCTGCTTAGATACCATTTCCTTTGATGGAATTCCGCATGCTTTCTCTGTAATAACCAGTATTTTCAGTTAAATAATTCAGATAGTTAAAACATGGATTCATGACATTGTGTTATCCATTTTTACTTCTGTCCACCCTCTGTCCTATCTATTTGTACATTGTCAGAATCTGAAAGAAAAATGTTATGCACACATTGCCAGACTTAGGGTGCTACAAGTCACTAGCAATGATATATTCCTTCAAATGAATACTCTGCCTTGTAAATAAAGGTATTTGAATCCTAATTGACTACTCCATTTTTTAGTAACAGATCTGGGATACAACACTCTGAGCTGCTGTGTTCATTGAACATGGGGTTGTCCATCCCTCCTCAGTACTCCAGGCAAGTCCAAGGCTACATCAAAAGGTTCTCAGTGACCATCCCTGGAAGTGTTCAAGAAATGACTGGACAGGGCACTTGGTGCTGTGGTTTAGTTAACAAGGTGATGTTCTGTCAAAGGCTGGACTCTATGATCTCAGAGGTCTTTTCCAGCCTAATTGATTCTGTGATTCTGTTACCCTGTCTTAGGAGAGCAGTCCATGAGATGGCAGAGCAGCATTAAACTAGCGTGACAAAATTTGTCCTGTAGACAGTGTCCTACTGGGAGAGATCATTCAAAGAGACAGACATTCTCTGTCTGCAAAAAATTTTTAATACTGGATAAAAAGAAAATGTCTACAGCATGTTTACATTCACAGAGCAAACTCTGAGCACAAAAATACAAGTTTAAAGCTGCTATAATTAAAAAAACTCCAAAACTCCAACACAATTACAATTCAAATTAATGATTTGTCATTCTATAGTGGCTACTGAAGATTGATAATAGCCATATGAAATTTGAATCTTTGCCAGAAGGAAAAGATGATGGTCAGAATTTTAAAATAATTGTTAATCTCAGGTCATGTCTGCACAGGATGAGGACTTCTCATCCACTTCACTCTACTGGATATAATTCATGTAGTGTTCAGTAATGGATCAAGAGGAATGGGGGAAAAGCACCATTCTCCCAAAGCATCCATGTGGAGGTCCTAGTTTAAAGTATCTGTGAAAACATGATTTTGAAATAGCTCTGGGGAATTTCCAAATGTGGATAAGCCATAAATATTGTGGAAGTTTGCCTTCCCCTTGTTCTAATAATCTATCAAAGTAAAAAAACTTTTTTCTGCAATATTTAGTAGCTTTTAGGTAACATTCCCAGGTCCTAATCCTGAAAAAAAGCAACTTGTATGGCCTATTAGATTTTCTTTTCTTACTGAAAATATTATAAAACTTGTTTTCATTCACAGAGGATGGGCTTTTTTGTTTACAAGCCCTGTCCCAAGGACTGTCTCTGGCTGGGTGTTAAAAGTCAGCCCTACTACAGTACTCCTTTTTTGTAAATAACATGTTCAAAATTACTTATTTCATGATGGATGATCACTGTTGTCCTCCTTCTGCATGACTGCCTTACTCAGGTGACAAATGCAAAAGGACAAAAAAGAAGGAGCTATTTTGCCCCCATTTGAATTTCATGCATACATCTGAGCAGTGATGTCAGGTCCACCTGAGAACACCCAAACAGCTCCTTAATTTTTAACAGAATCACAGAGTGGGTCAGGTTGGAAGGGACCACCGTGGCCATCTGGTCCAACCTCCCTGCTCAAGCAGGGCCACCCTGGAGCACGTAGCAGGGGATTGCATCCAGACAGTTCTCAAGTATCTCCAGTGAGGGAGACCCTAGACTGCAAACCTCTCTAGAAAATCACAACAGATTAACCTACATGGTAAAGAAGTTCAAGTGGAGCCTTCTCTGCACAAGTTAACCATTCTGGGGAGATTCATGTGTTTTTTTGGTGGTTCTATTTGGGTTTTTAGAGGGTATTTTTTCTGCTTTTATTATTGGTGTTTTGTTGTGGTTGCTGTTGTTATTGTGGGCATTTTGTTTCATTCTTTCCTTTTTCTTAAAAAAAACCAAAACTGACAGAACTGCTTTCCTCTGGGGGAGGTTTTGGGACCAAATGCCGGGCCTTGTCCCACCACAAACCAGCTTCCTGGTGCCAGGGAATCCCCCAGGACAGCTGTCCACCATGCTGCGCAAAAAGGATTTTGTTTAATATCCTGCTTTAATGGGCAAAGCTTTAAAAATGAAGCTATTTTGCCCAGTTTGAATGTCTTGCGTACAACTGAGCACTGACAGATCTGCCAGAAAACACCCCAGCAACACTTTGCTTTTTAACAGAATGTCAGAATTGTTAAGGTTAGAAGGGGCCTCTGGAGATCATCGAATCCAACCCCCCCTGCCAATGCAGGGGTACCTGGAGCGGGTGACACAGGAATGTGTCCAGGTGGGACACATTTTCAGAGAGGGAAACTCCATTACCTCCCTGGCCATCTGTTCCAGGGCTCTGCCACCCTCAGTGGAAAGAACTTCTTCCTCATATTGAAGCAGAAGTTGTGTTTTAGTTTATGGCTAAAAATTCACGGGTTTAATGCGTGTAGTTTTTTTTGCGTGTGGGCTTTTTTGTTTTGGGGTTCTTTTGGTGTGCTTCTTTCCCTTTTTTTGTGGATTTTTTTTTTCTCTTCTCCCCCTCTTTTTTTATTGGAAGGGCAGTGTGTAATTGTGGTACTTTTCTGTTGCTGTTTTGCATATTTTTCTTGTTTTGCTTTGGGGTTATTTTGGTCTTTATGTTTGCTCTTTGGAGCTTTTTGTTTTGTTTTGTTTTGGAATTTTCTTCTTGGTTTTGACTTTTCCCCCATTTGTTTTGTTTTGGGGTCATTTTGGCCCTTTTTTGTTGTTGTTTTTTTTTTTTTCCCAACTTTCTTGTTTTGATTTGTTTTGATGTTATTTTGGTGCTTTTTTGTTGTTGTTTCGGGGCGCTTTTTTTCCGTTTTTCTTGTTTTGAGGTAATTTTGGCGCTTTTTGTTGTTATTTTTGTGTTGTTTTTTTTTTTTCCCCAGCTAAATCGGACAGCAATGTTTTTCCTGTTTGGTGACCAAATCCGCTTCCCGGCGCCAGGAATCCCCCTGGAGCATCCCACGGCCCCGCGCCCCCACCCTTCCGGACCGCACCAACTCTCCGCTCCGGGGGGGGGTGCAGGGGAAGCACGACCCCTCCGGCCGGCCACCGTCGCTTCCCCCTCCCCGCTCCGGCGCCGCCCCCTTGGCCAATCACATGAGCGGGCGCGGGGGCCGCCGGGAGCGGGCGCTTCCCGAGGGGCTCGGCTGAGGCGCAACATGNCGGGACGGGCCCGACACCCTTTCCCGGCGCCGTGGCGGCGGCCGCCCGGGTGGGTGTCACCTGGAGCCCTGACAGGCTCGGCGGAGACACGCGTTTGCCGGGGTTGTTGCAGGTGACAGCTGTTAAATCAGCTTAATTTCATTCGTTCTGCGGGACCTGGGAAGTTTGGCTTTTCCTGGGGACATCAGACGGCTGAAGAGGAAGGTGTTTGTAAATTCAGCTCTTCCAGACGGATTTTTGTCTTCCATTGAAACCACTTTGCTGGTACCTCCATAGTACTCGTACCTCACTGTTGCTGTCGCCTCTACTGGATTTCACACTTGCGGTAGCCAGGCGTTGAAAGTACGGCCAGTCTTTCAGAAACATTAATCGTAATTTCAGTTGCAGGGCTTTCCTTTCCCTTGCCTGTAGCTTTATCCTATACGCTTTTTTTTTGTTTTTGTTGACGTTTCTGTAAGACCTGTGCAGAGAAGTGGGAATCGAGCTGCTTATGTGGCATCGGAAAAATGACCACGTGAAGCAGCAGGAAAACTGGAGATTGACCACTTAAGAGAAACAACAGAAATTTTTAGCTGTGTTTCTCTAACTTACTATCTGGAATTCGTTTGTTTGTTTTTAATTTAGTAAGGTATGCATTTCAAGCTGCTGTTCATTACAGTAGTGTGCAGGACAGCAGTTTGCAGAGAACTGCTTGTCAGAATAGTGATGCAATGACATTTGTCAATTTGGTTTCTGACAGACATGTAGCTTAGGCTGTAGCCTCTGCATGTCGTGTGCTGAGGAAAGAGTGCAAGGAAATGAAGCTTGTACTGTCATTCTCATTACAGTTCTGCATTTCTCTCTTCAAAAATGGCAACAGCTTAAAAGCTACTTTGTGTTTAAAATATGCCTTAATTTTCAGGTGAATCTTACTAACTTATCAACTGTAACTTGTTTATAAATATTTTTCATTTTATTTAGCAATGCTTGTGAACTATGTGAGAATGCACCAGAGATAAACAAAAAAAAATGCAGATGCTCACGTCTTTAGAGTTCTGAACTTAATTATCTCTTTCTTTCGGTGAAAGGCTCTCAAAATGCATCTAACAAACAAAACCAGGCAGAGTACTCAAAATGAAATGTTCACTTGGAAGGTTAATTAATTCACTTACTTGAAACTATTCTGGTCCAATTATTTAGGTAGTTGAGGAACTTGCAAATCTGAATTATCCTCAGTGTTCCCTGAGTGAAGCTTGGTACGGTGGGTTTTGTTGCTGCAGTACTCTGTGTGTATTCTGATCAAGCAGGCCACAAGCCACTCCAAGAGTGACTTCCTCTTCATGCTCCCTGGAAAAAATGTAACTGCATGCTGACTGTAAGTTCTTGTGTTAGGAGCAGCATGTGTGAGGGTAAGGACAGAGGGGAAGAAAGGCATGATTAAGTGATCTGATTGTGGTATGGCTATAAGCTAAAATACAAGAAGTTCTGCTTCAATATGAGGAAAAACTTCTTTCCAGTGTAGGTGACAGAGCGCTGGAACAGGCTGCCTAGGGAGGTTGTGGAGTTTCCCTCTCTGGAGACATTACAGACCCACCTGGACAGTTCCTGTTACCTGCTCAAGGTGATCCTGCTTTGGCAGGGAGGTTGATGATCTCCAGTGATCCCTTTCAGCTATAACAATTCTGTGACTCTGTAACTGTGTTTTGGTGTCTTCCTTTCTAAGCACAATTTTTGTTAAGGGGGTATGAAATGCTGTCCATTTTAAATTAATCCATTTCTCTTTACTTAGTGGCTATTCCCTTGAATTTGTAACATAAAATTGGATTGATTGGTGTTCCATCCCTTTAGAAATAAGCTGTTCCTTACTTATGCTGAAATTTAAAGTACATGCATTGCTTCTTGAATTCTTCTATAACTTGAAAAGCTCCATCATGGATTTGCTACTGCATTTTTCGAGTCCTGTTACAATATATATTTTTGCCTGAAATTAGGAATTACATGGCTTATGATCCAGCTGAAGGCTGTGTGTTCGTCACCTTTCTTGCTTAGAGAAGCAGTGCAGTTACGAAATTAATCTACTGATACATGTGCAAAACAATTCTGATAAACAGGAAATAAGCTGAGTTCTCTAGTGTGCACATGTCAGTCATCCTTCATGTGCTTACAGAGATTTGAAGGACCAAAACAGAGTATGATTCTTCAGATAGTGTAAAGCCACACACTGTTGAGGTTGCTCAATCCAA